TGATGGGAGTGTTTACCATGTGTCAAACACACAGTTGAGACATGTTTACATTGTCTCGTTTAATCCTCACCACTGTGTACTTCGGGATCCCAGGCCCAGAGAGGTTAAGTGATCTGGAGTCACAGGCTTGTAGGCTGCAGGCCTCTCCAGAATGGCTGGCACAGTGCCTTCAGCCTCACCTTGTGTTTCCCCGAGAGTCCAAGGAGAGGGAAGGGGGGCCCTAATGAAACTCTGAAGGAAGTGGGGGTGGGCACAGGGGACCCCTTGCTGTGTCTGCACTGTTGTAGGAGGAAATCAGTTTGTCTAAGTGGGGCACAGTAGGGGTTGCAGAGTGACCCAAGCAAATAGTTTACATTGGGGCAGGTAAACCAAAAGATGGTTATGGCAGGACTAAGTTTGAGAGGCCTTGGAAGACAAATCTTAGGATTTAATGTGGGTGTGATTTTGGGGGAAAGGTTTATACTCTTTGTACTTTCAATACTTCATTATTGAAGACATTTTAATAGTAAAATAAACATGGGCATCGTAAGGGAAGAGGACACAGAAACACACATTTTCAGATCAAACATCATCTTCAAAAAAATGTCTCCCCACGCTGGGTCTTGTAGAGTTGAATGGTGGCCCCAAAAGATGTGCTTACCTGGAACCTGTGAATGTGACCTTATTTGGAAAAAGGGTCTTCGTAGATGTTACAAGGCAAGGGTCTTGAGATGAGATCATCCTTGAGTGGGCCCTGCATCCAAGGATAAGTGTCCTTAGAGGAAGAGAGAAGGGGAGAGAGGACACACAGGGGACCAGGACAGGTGAAGACAGAGGCAGAGATTGGAGTGATGCTGACATGAGTCAAGGAACACCTGGAGCCACCAGAAGCTGGAAAAGGCAAGGAAGGATTCTCTCTGAGAGCCTTCAGAGAGAGCAGGGTCCTGCTGACACCTTAATTTCAGACTCTGGCCCCTAGATCTCTGAGGGAATACATTTCTCTGTTTCAAGGCACCCAGTTGGAGGTAATCTGTTAAAGCAGCCCCAGGAAATGAATACAGGCCTCCTGGGGCTCAACTCCTCGGCCTTCTAGGAGTGCAAACTCAAGCCTTGCACTATCAGAAAGCTTTTGAGAAACTGTGTGGGTAATAGGGAGCCATGGGAAGCTCTTGAACAGTGGAGGGGCAAGATAGAAGCAATTTTTAGGATGACATTGGTATCCAGTATAAATATGCAGGATGGGAGGAAGTGAGTGACAGGAGACCAGGTGGAAGGCAGTGGGTGCAATGGAAAGAACAGGAGTTCTGGAGTTATGTGCGGTTCTAATTCCAGCTCCTTCACTTACTGTTCCAGTTTTTTTCATGTGTAAAACAAGGATAATACTATTGTATGTGAGTTAGAGCTGATAATATGTATTCAAAAAAGGTACATTATAAGTATTGTTAGTAATCATGTAAAAATTAGGAGGTGGCATTAGAGATGGAAAAAAAGGTACAAAGAGATGTTTAAGAAGCACTAGGACTCAGAATCATAAGAATTGAGGTTGAAAGGGATTCCAAGGTCAGCTAGAGCCCTTTCCTCACTGACCTTGGGGAGCACTTGGAGAGAGGGAAGGAAGAAGTGAATGGAAATGAGGTTTTTCCTGGGAGCTGAGATGCCTGGCATATTCTTGGCCAAGCCTGAGACTGTGGGAGGAAGAGCTAGTTTGGGGAGGAGGTAAGTTTCATTCTGAGTGTGGTGAGCTTGAAGAGATGATGAGCCACCCAGAGGGACTGTAGGAAAGCTGGGGAGCTCTCTAAGGCTACAGACCTGGGAGCTGTAAACATCCAGTCTGGAAGCATACAAAAATGATCAACTCTCTTTTTAAAGAAAGGCCTATATCAGAATAAAAACAAAGGCCCAAAGTCTGCTTTTTGGGTATTACTGTTAGAAGTTGGGAGGACAACAAGCCCTATAAGGGACAGAGATGGGTGGGTCAGAAAGGTAGATGAACGGAAAGATGGCCGAGTTTCAGGAAATAGCACAAATGCCCTGTGCTTCAGAAAGCTTCATAGGATAAAGATTGAGAAAGGGGCATAGAGTTTTAGATAGAGGATGTCTTTGGTGACTTTACAAAGAATCTGAAAAGGAAGAGGAGTTCAAGACCCATGCTTCAATGAAAGTTTACAAAGTAGACAAGTTAAAAACTGGGTCAATGTTATTAAACTTATTTTGAGTAAACCAATTTAAAACTGGGTCAGACCACTGATATTTTTCTGCTTTCTTTATCAGTAAGAAAAAGGTTTTCACAAAAGGATGAACTGAGGCAGCTTCTTTCCCCAGGTCAAAACGGAGAAGGAGGCTGTCCCTGTTCCCCGGATCTTGGGCCCACCCCTGCTCAGGACAATGCACCTCCTTCCAGCTACTGGCCTGTGGAGTGCTCCCTGCTGCCAGGGAGTGTGCCAGGGACTCACATAGGAGCAAGGCCAATGTTATCTCCCCATTTGGTAAATTTTAGATAGGTTAAGAAACACTTGTGCAAGATTCCACAGTTGAAGCAGCAGATAGTCAAACACTCAACAGTGACTTCAAAGTTATACTGGCTCTACTTACCTTCTGGTGCTCTCTTTTGGGAACAAGGCAGGGGATGAGGGATTCAAATGATACCGTGATATCACCTTGGGTAAATTATTATTGCCTTAATAATAATGAGAAGCCAGGAGCTTAAGAAAGAATCTCATTAGTATGGATCCGGGCTATTCCGCCAGGAAATCAGAGTCATTTGAATAGTAGGATTTCCTTTTGAGAAGCCATATGGGAAGGAGATTGGGGTAACAGACATCTGGATGCATGTGCCTGTGAAAGGGAACCTTGTGTCTGTCTGTTCCCTTCCTCTTGGGTTTAATCTTCCACGTTTGTGTATAGATAATCCACTACGTGTGGTCAGCTGACCTGACCAGTCCCACGACTAGTGACAATACCTTCCCAGGCCCACATTCCCTCAGCTCCTTACAGGATTCTGCCGCGGGTTGGGTGTGCTTGAGCCAGACTCTGCAAGGGAGGCTGCAGAGATTGAGTTTCCTCTCCTCCTCTTCAGAAGTGCTTCAGACGCAAATGATGCAGTAAAAAAGTGTCTGGTTGGGAAAGTAAATAGATAGAAGGCAAATAAATAAAAATGCCCACAAGCAATTACAGAGAGGAAGTGACATTTTTATGGAAGTCACTTTTCTGATGGACAACAGGACTGCTTTGCTTAGAGTGGCGTGGGAATGCTTCCGGGAGGGGGGCGTCGTGATAAGAAAATCAAACAAACAAAAAGAGGATGGAATGACCACCCGCTGGTCATCGGAGGCTGGAAGTTGCTGCCTTTATTTCCTCTCTTGTCCCCTCACCCCACTTCTGCCCAGACTGCCCGAGCAAAACGTTTTAGGAGAGGGGATCCTTTCGTCTCCTCCGCTCCGATCCCGCGCTGTGCCCAGGGGTCTCACGGTGGCCAGGCGGCCGCGCGCAGTGCGCGCTGGGCGTCCCTGAGCGCGGTCCTGTCCCGGTACGGTTCCCAGCCCGGCCACGCGCGGGCCCCGAAGCCGCCCGCGCGCCCCTAGGTGGGCCTGGGCCCCGCCCTGTGCGCGGGCTGGGCAGGCCCTTGGGCGGTGTCACGGCGAGGCTGGGAGGAGCGGCGGGAGGAGGGGGAGGAGCGCGGAGGGGCGGG